TGGTTTATTGATATGAATGCTTTATTGATTACTTCCAATTTCTATTTACATTTCAACTCATCAAATCATCAGTTCATCAAGTATTCTATTAAGATCATATAAACATTAAAGACAACTATGCCTTTCATACAGTGATTCCTAAAACCAGGTTGGGGTCGAGGGAACAGATCACGTAGCACTGAAATATTACTAGACTGCAATTGCACGGGATTACTTTGTAATGAAATCTCCGTGCCACTGTAGCAGGTTTGTTGACACAAGTTGGTTTCTAGGGCTGTATGATTTGGAGCGCACGCTCTCTGTGTAACCAAGTTCAGGAGGGTGCCATTTTCAAGATGCCAGCCTGAACATCATGACAGCTACTGTTTAAACTGAGACAGGAGAACTGACAGTGAATACACATCTGCCTTTCCAACTACATAGATTTAAAATGGGACATGATCTAGCTTTCGCTTGATTTTAAACTTAAAGGCATCCAATGAAGCTCCAAAACAACAAAATTGGAAATATTCTGAATAAAGCAATCTGTATAATATTGACACATACTGTCCCACATTAGCACATTTGCATCAGTATTTCATACTTTGGGCATTTAAAACAGTGTAGGAATAAGCCCCAAGCCCTTTATTTTCTAGGTGGTACCCAAAAATCTTACCAGTAACCATTTCCGTCACACTTTTCAGCATTTTTGCTCCATGAATGTCAATAAATATTGGGATAATGTTGTTTCAGCTTAGTATGTAGCTACATAGGTAAGTGACTAGAATATTAACTTGAAAAATCTGGTTTTCAAGCCCTAACAAGTGCATTGGGAACCTTTAAACTATTGAGAAGTTATATACTAGTATAATGGGCAGGGGTCACAGAGGAAAACTGTCCAGTGTGTCCTGGGTGAGGCTTTGGCAGCTGCCTTGGCCAGGGGGCAAAAATGTGCTGGAAATAACAGCAGGCTCACAACTTAATCTGGAACTCCACTGCCAGGAAATAAGGAGTAACAGGCTCCCAAAGTGATCCAAGGCATCACGCAATTTCAATCATGGCTGTCAACTGTGAACCTCAAGTATAAATTTCTTGCAACGTCCGGTGCATATCATCCTTACTAACAGTACATCACGTACAGTTGGTCCAGCGTTTTAGTATTAGGCAACATCCAAATTTTGCCACCTACAGGTATGACAGAAAAAATTTTTACCCAATCCGTCATCTTTGATGGACAGAAATTGGTGTGTAGAGACATTGAAAGAGATGTCATTATACATATACCAGCAGCAAAAGTGGTTTAGCGTTTTACATGTAGCATCCAAATTTTGCTGCTCATGAGGGACAAAAACTTTGCGCAATCCGTCATCTTTGACAGACAAAAATTGGCGTGCAAAGACATAGAAAGTGAATTGTCATTAATAATACTAGCAGCAAAACTGGTCCCTAAAGATACAGGAAATGGCATTTCAGAGGGTCAAGATTTCAACATTTTTCAGGGAAAGCATGCCCTCAGACCCTCCAGGGCTCGAAATACTGGGTGCATGTGCACCTTATTATTATTAGTGCACCCAAATTTGGAGCTGTGCACCCAATTTTTTTCTGTGGGTGCACCAGTGCACCTATATTCCCAAAAATGAATTTCAAGCCTGCCCTCTAAGGATTGCGCTTCTGCATTCGACGTCAAACAAAATCAACATGACCAAAAGAAAATATCAGGCTGGCTAGAACACTGAGTTGACCTGACAGAATAGCTGGCATACGGCCTAATAGGACATGGATGCTAAAGTCGGAGCTGCACAGTTAGTATACACAACAACTGGAGGGAAGACTCAACCCTACCAATGACCTTCAAATATTTATCATCACCAGCAAGCACCGTAGCAGATGTCCCGTCATTCCTGCCATTTTAAATTACTCCCTCGGTGGGGCAGTCAAAGTGGTCTTTGTCCAGACAACTTTCGCTTCTATATACTACTTTTCAGCGTAGGATGTCCGAGGGGAGAGCAGATGTTGAAAGCTAAGCATACACACAGCAGACGTACCAGTGGAGATTTCAGGCCAGGACAGAAACAACTTTTGTCAAAAAAAGCCAGCATGATCTAATGAAGGGCTCGAAATACTGGGTGCATGTGCACCTTAGTGCAGGTAAAATTGTGGCTATGCAGGTATTTCTCATGTCTACCTGCACTAGTACATGTACATGTACTGGCTTTAAAATATACATGCAGGTGTACATGTATGTGGATTTTTATTTGCTGCACTAACTGTTACCACAGTTGAACTTGAAGTATAAAACAAATGGTTTCTGCACATTGTTTAGTATGATCCATACTTCTCAGATTCTGAGTGGTGCAGGTAAAATTTGTCTCTTGCAAGTAATTTTCAATGTTACCTGCAACAAAAGTATTTCGAGCCCTGTAATATCATGTAGCAATGGCTGACTTGGAAGTCATTACAGAGAAACAGCTCTGGTTTCCAATTAACGGTTAAGTACGTTTATCAAGGATGGATACGAAAACAAACCATTCCCCAGTTGCACATTTTTGGACTCCGCCTGTATTTACATAAATATCTACAAATTTCCTTCCAAAAAGAAGCAAGAACAGCATCAACATGTCTAAGCAATCGCTCAAACAAATGATCTTACCTACATAGTACAATTTGGAAGTTTTGTCCAGTCAAATTTTTCTTGTGAAGCAAGTTTAAATTGTAATTTCCAACACAACAAATTGCAATCACCCAAATTTTCAACTGTACAACTCCAGTCTTTGTAAAGGAATGAGCAATCCACCGCTTCCGTGACGTTGAAAATTTGGGTGATTCCAATTTGTTGTGTTGGAAATTACCGTTTAAACTTCAATCATAGTGATTTGTACCAACACAGATGAACTTTCAAGATAAATGTTTTCTGTGTTGACACACATGTCAGGGGAGTAAGGTGTCAGTATGTTTATGATTGAGTGCTTCATCAACCACTCACAGAAATAGCAGGCAGTGACTTTTAAGGGCCTGGGGGTGAAAGGTCAGAGGTTAGAATGTCTGCCAGGGCAGAGATGGCCCCTATGGGACCTATCCAATTGATATACTAGTATTTTGGGGGCATCAACAATATGGCCTGAATTATATTAATAATGTTCACTTATCAGGAAGGACTTATACTTGGTCAGTGCTGTATTTCCTGATTTTTTTAAACCTACTTCTGTGTTCACATTTTTTACAGTCATTAAAGTAAGTTACAATTAAAAGCAGTTAACATACAACCAAAAAAGATGTCATACAACCATCTCACAAGATTGGCGAGACCACCATGCCCTAAAACCACAATGTTTACCTCAGAATGGGTTAATACCTTTTTGATGTCATTAAATAAACACTTGAAAGAAACAGGACAAGGGAAACTGGCCCCCACAGGACAGCTGTAAGCATGGTCCTTACACCAAGACAAACACGTTGTACACACAACTCTGCTTACTCTGAAGATTCACTATCTTTACTAAGGTGGGCGCTGTATAGACAGACTACGTCAAGATAGCCTGGTGACATAACAACTCCTCAGTACAACAGATAGTCACTTCCCATGGCCAGCATTATCTGACAAAATCAACATGCACATCTTACTTTGTTCTCACAAGACTGGCAAGACTTTTGTGTCAGATTCTGATATATGCTGTTGAACTTTTAAGTTAAATCATGATAGATAAGGGTCTTTTATCCGTAGACACTTAGGAAGTACTTTTAACTGAAAGTATGAGGATTCCAATGTTATCTTGGGATGCCTACGGGTATAGAAAAAAACAAAATGAAGAAACTAATGAAGAGAATGAAAGAATGAAGAATGTAATGAAAGAATTAAGAAAGGCATTAGATTCTTTAAGAATTAGTCACAGACAAGCAGTAAGGTACAAAATTAAATTGCTCAATATAAACTTTCTGGTCAATTAAAGCAGAGAAATTTTTTGACTTCACCCCAAGATTCCTATTGAAAACGGAAACCCTCGGTTCAACATTCTTTCTCAATTAAGCAGACAAAGTGGCATTCCCCTTGCCTTCGGGCAATTTCAAACCACATTGTTCTCATATGAGAGTAGATCATTCACTCACGAACAACTGCTGAAACGTTCGTGACTTTCTCGGACAGGATTCCGGTATCCCAACACGTCAACGAGACAACGACAACAAATCCTGGCGAATTCCAAGTGGGGAAGGTCATGTGTGGCATTTCCACGTCCCCGCTGTACTAGGGGCATGTATAGGCACCAGGTGCAGGGTGTCCTCTAGGTGTCCGTCACCTGCTTGACCCTACAGGCCTTCTAGTCTCAAGTTTTGGTCAGGGGAGTTTCTAACAGAAGCGTTAGGCTCTGGTTCCTCTAGAGTTTGTTCTACTAGCTGGGCGGAAAATTGCCTCCGTGAGAATTCTGGCATTGGATAAGCCTTCTTAGGAGGCACATGTCAAGAGAGACGTCCAGACACCCTGGCATTTACACCGTACCCTGGTGTGAGACCCATTATTTTCTAGCACTGATACCTCTCAGTCAAAAAGGCGGTTTGGTTTGCCTTGGGCTGAGACCTTATTGTGTACATAATTGGTAGACAACTAAAAGATTCTCATTTTGAAAATAGTTTTTCACACGTTCTAATTTTTACAGATGACAGTTTTAGTGGTGGCAGATAAAGGGTATTCGTAAAAGAGGGAAAATAAAGTTTAACTTTAAAAAGTTTATTGAAGGGATGATGTTGCCCGTTTTATCAGTTAAGCATACAAGTCCTTCCTGCCCAGAAACAGAAGCACATGTGAGGTGCCCAGAGCACATTCCACAGTTGGGCAGTAAATCTTTGCCTTTGTCACCACTAGCAAATTGTCCTGTCCTTCCAATGCTGTCTCAATGTTTCTTTAGTTTCTTAAAACTAGACTTAAATGTGTTAACCAGGACAAGTTTGGGATAAGGCAAGATTGTTGAGTTTTCGGTTAAGCCGACAATGCTAAAAGTTGTGATGATGATGAATTGTGGGATTCTTACCTCGTACGCCCAGGTACAGGACACTCCGGCAAACTTGTGGATGCAGCGCCCGATCTCGACATCTTCGTGCGAGGTGTAGAGATGCTTGAGACACCAGGAGATGTTGGGTACCATCCTCCGCAGTGTCTCCCTGCTCATCAGCATCCCGGGACCCCCCATGCAGAAATTCTCGCCCGCGTCCAGCGACAGACGGCCCAACTCCTCGGCGCTGCCCAGTCCGGTCTGTCCGATGTACAGCGGCCGGGAAGAGTTGACGGATCTGAGGAACTTTTCCAGTTTGTCCCCCTTGATGTAGACATCATCATCCGCACGCATGAACCACTCGTACTGGTCCAGGTAATGGTCGTGCATGTACTTCAGCATGAGGAAGGACTTCTTCTGAGGGGGGTAGGCGTCGTCAACCCCCGGGATGTTCACGCGGGTGAACCCCCCCTGAGACAAGCCGTCCGGATCGTAAGCGGAGTAGAATTCGACCTTGCCGGGTATATGCTGCTGCCAGGTCTCGTATGCCGCCACGGCGCGCGAGTCCAGGTATTTTTTGGCCGTCATCACCCCGACGTACACAAAATTCTTGCCCCGCTCGGGGCCGGCGGACTCCCTCTTGGGCGTGCTGGCGGGTCCCCCCGGGTCGCCCGCCCCGCTGGACAGCAGCTCTGCGGCCGTGGGGTCCCGTCTGCAGCCCACCCGCGCCCCGAGACTCCCTCCTCCCCTCGGCGGGTCGGCCCTCTGCACCACCAGCCAGCTGGCGAGCGTGAACCCCAGGAACAGTCCCGCACACAGCCCGACCACCATCCGGGCTCGCGCCGTCATGCCGGCCCGCCGCGTCCACAGCATCACTCTCGGGTTCGTCAGCAGGCCCAACACACCGCTCCGCTGACGACTACATGTCTTGGTGGGCAGATGGTCCTCTCTGTAGACAGAAAGATCGACATTAGTGAGGAACTCAGCCTGACCGAAGCTGCAGGTTCACCAGTTCGGCCGCCATCTTGTTTATTCATGACGTCACATGCACAACACCCACGTGGATCCTCCACGCCAGATAATCCTGACATCATTTAGAACCTGGTTGGACCTACTTAGTACTAAGGTTATTTGTAAGCGCATAGCGTGATATTTAAGGAGATAACATCTGCGGGAGACAGAATATGAACAAGTAGAGAAAGATAAAATCCAATAGGACTGTTACAGTATAAACATCTAGCTCCAGTGCACAGTGAACTATAAAACACCTCGCTACATTGTAGCTAGTTCCAGTGCACAGTAAACCAGTCATATTATTCAATAGCCCTGATGAGGGTCTGCATGCCCTTTTTCGTTAACCGTTATGGGCTATTTTAATTCACCGTTAATCGTTGCCGGCTCACTCTAATTCAACGTTAAGCGTTATCAGTATATTCATCGTGAAGCGTTATTGGTCTTTTAAATTCAACGTAAAACGTTATTTGTCATCCTAAATTCAGCGTTAAGCGTTAATGAATGATTCTTCGTTTCGCCTAATTTTGCCTTTCAAAATGCAGGAAAATGCGTTATTGAAGGTTTAAAAATACAAAATTTCCCGGGGGAGAATGCCCCCGGACCCCCACTACATTGCTCGCACCTTTGGCGCTCGACTCGCGCTTCTGCGCTCGGTCCCTTCGGCTCTAGCCAGAACCAGCTTTCCCGTCAATTTCCGGAAGTTTGCGGAGAAGGACCGACAAACACTCTCAACACCGTGATTTGCCTCTCAAAATGCGGGAAATTGCGTTTTTGAAGGCTTAAAAACCCTAAATTTCCCGTGGAAGCATCCCCCGACCCCCCTAGATTACGAGCGCCTTCGGCGCTCCCCTCTCAAAATCCATCGGTAAAACTGGGCAGACTGAAAAATGCAAGCTGGCCGACGTCGACTCGGACTCCCCTTTATTTGAGGACGCACTCAGGGACCAGGGCAGGTGGGAAACACAGGGAACACATAGCTTTAATGCGTGCTTCATTACATGTAAGATATACGTAATTTTGTCAGTGATCACCTTTTCTCACAAAGCGAGATACCAAATCAAGTGCAGCTCGAAAAAAAACCCTGTCAATTTACCGTTAAGCGTTGCCGACCGTCCTGAATTTACCGTTAAGCGTTATCGGCCCTGCTGAATTTACCGTTAACCGTTGGCAGGACCCCCCTCATGCAGACCCTCCCTGATGAAGATGACAGACAGTCATCGAAACGTCGGCTCTTGTTAAAAAAAGGTGGTTATGAATACATAACTTTGCTATTCAATCATTCACTATATAACTGCAATTATTCACAGCGATATAGTCATTTTTTTATGTCAAAAGCTTAGAGCTAGCTGGGAGAGGCCAATGGTAAAGTCATTTGTTGGGTCAACATATAACGATACTCTGAAATGAGGACAACGAAAAAAAAAAAAGATAAAACTAACAACAAATCAGATAGTATATACTATACACCAGAAAACCCTTTTCCGTACCGTAAGAAAACCATACTGCAGGAAAACAAAAAATCATGTTTAAATCCATGGACATCAACAAATCAACTGCACTGTGTTGATGATTAGAAAAATGTGATTTCTTCCAGGTAAAACGGAGGACACAGAACATCAGTAATATCCCAGCATTACGTTCAACTTGAAACTTTGATAAATGAATTGGGAAAAAATATTATGATAAAGTCGATCGTATGTAACTATAACTTTGCAGTTAGGTCGGTTCAAAAAAGTGAAATGAAGGTTTGGTCCTTTGATGGCCTCGTCAGCTCGGAGAAACACTGCTAAAAGATGCGACAACCGGAAGTTTGGCTGCAGTACCAAGGCCAGCCAGCAGGAGGCTAGGCCCACATTCGACCTTGAGCGTTGTATTCACCCCTTGTATCTACCCCTTGTCTACCAAATATCATCACAATCCATAAAAGCCTTGATATAGTTATGCTGATCACAAATATGCGGAAACACAGGCAGACCAAATACAATATCTCCATTTTTCATGGAGGTAATAAACCCATAGATCATTAGATGGGCTACGCGGTATTTAAAAAGGGAAGAAGAATAAAAATGCTTGTGGCTTTGGATATGGTACATGGTATCACGGATCTCGACTCAGAGACCGGATATAATGTTACATTTATATAAATTTCGCACGAAAAAAGATTCCAGACTAGACTGCAACAGCAATGACCAGGTACCTTACCCTCCAAGCAGAGGTTAGAGCTGTTTTTGAACGTGTTTTTTTTTTTACCTCGTTTAGGCGTTTTGTGGTGCTTTCTATTTTGCTATTTTGTTGGTTTTCCTTTCTGAGGCCCAGGATACCCAAGAAATGCCGACAAAAAAGGAAACTTTCTTAATCCCTACAAAAAGCTATAAAAAGTCCTAAAATAGGCTGCTTGGAGAGTACAGAAACCGTATCCAGGCAGCCATCCTGATTCGGATGTAATAATAAAGCTAACAAAAGCTACAGTGTCGTTTTTGGAGACACTGAAATATGATTCCAACTTAAAAGGGCCGGTTGTTTGCTTTTAAATTACGATCTAACTACTTTTCTTTCATTATTACGTGATTTCATTCGCCTTGGCCAGTGTAACACAATCTCTCGCTGTCAGGGGCTGACGTGAATCGGCCTCCTGTAGCCTCTACCAGGCTCCGGGAAGCGGCATTTTAAACTGTACTCTCTGCATACATGTACTAGACCAACTCCCCTTGCACTGGCATGTTATCTGTCTATTTGGCCAATTTCTACTCCTTCCAATGGCTTTCCGGATCCCGTAGGGATGGTAGCAGCTAGGCCTTCTTCATGAGACCAGTAGAAGGACTGCAGCTGGTAGAAGTGTGATGTAGTCAGGTCGTCATTCGCCCACGGTAGCATGGGTTCCAGGCTGTTTCCAAGTCCTACACAGGCCAGTTCCTCGGCTCCAGAGCCAACATGCCTCCAAGAAAATTGTAACACAGCCGCCCTCAGTAAGGCGCTGGTTTAATGACCTGGACCTAGTATTCCATGGGTGTGGCTGGCATCTAGGCTATCCCCTCAACAAATGGAAGTTGTTATCGCACACAAGAGCGCCTCTGGCTTTAAACCTAAAACTGCAGCTTTGACCTGGCCGCTTGACTGAGGGGACACCGGCCCGTATAATTGGACTCGGCGGGACCGACAGAGCGTGTAGCACCGCATGCACTTGCTCTACTGGCCTGCGGCATGCCCGTAGCCAGGGGCACAAGGCTAAAAGGTCCACTTTTGTATCAAAAGATTTTCCTTTAAAGATGGACTGATTCGTATCACCAACGGGACTGGAATCGTAGAAAACTGCTCACTTTGTCATGGAATAAAAAGCTATGTCTAATTTTTCCATTGAAATCCTCTCAAAATGCAGGAAATGCCATTTCAGGATTTTCTAAATTTTCCGGGGGAGTATGCCCCAGGACCCCCCTACGGTGCTGGCTGGTCCCTCCGATAATGGGAAGAACCCCCCCCCCCTTCAAAATCCTGGCTACGGGCACGTTCGGAAGAAGAGGAGGGGCGGTGTCTACAACTCGATTAGCGGTATCACAACCGATAGATAATACCAAGGGCGAGTGCAAACGACATCTTTTAATAGTGATAAAATCCCTTGCAGGGAAAAATTTCGATACCACAAGGGGGGTATGCTACCAATGACAACTAGTACTACCTCCGTGCAACCGTGGGTATTGTTATTCTTTACATATCGGTATGTCTGCTTGTCTGTGTTTCCGCATAATGTATCTTGTATACTTTCAGTCACGTTCACCGAAGGTTGACAGAAAGTAAAGGTTAGAATATCGCCGGAGTGACAGGGAGCAGGCAAACTTTCCAGGTCATTAAGCCAAAGTTGAGAGAGCCTACTAGTTCACAGGAAGCAAAGACGTACTCCAAGCAGAGGTTTGGGTTTTAGCTTATATTTGGCGTGTCTTAAGGCTTCTTTGTCGGCTTCTTTTTATAAACTATTTTTTTATATACTTGAAAATCCGATTAAAAAAGCCTGTAAACGCCAAAAATAAGCCAAAACCCAAACCTCTGCTTGGAGAGTAGCAAAGACGATTAAAACCTCCTCGCGGGAAGGTATTGTGTTTGGTCTGTCTGTCTGTCTGTCTGTCTGTCTGTCTGTCTGTCTGTCTGTCTGTTTATTTGTTTGTTTGTTGAATGTCAAGACATTTTGGTACTCACTGGTACTCACTCACTCACTCACTCATTCACTCATTCATTCATTCAATCCTGCACTTGGTGCATCGAGCCGACCAGCACAGTTAGTACAGATAGCCTGAATAGCGTTTTTGAAGGCAACATGCTTTTGGGGCGAAATTAACCGCCTTACCATACGTCATGTGTACGGCAGCATTTTTCTTGACGGTATAAGCTCGGATGGCTTATGCCGAGTCATGCAGAGCAGGTTCAGCCCAACAGTCCGTGAGAAACAGGCGTTATCTGTGTAAGTACAAATCCGCCTGGAGTCCGACAGAACACGCATTGGCCACAGCTGAAGGAGAAACAAGTATGTGTCCTATTGAACCGCCTAGCAGCGCCTACGTTAAACTACGTGTACTGAATTTCGTCAGTCCACATGGGCATGAATGTGCAAATAAACATCTTGGCATTGTCATTGTCATTGTTAATACTAGGGTGTGTTTTTAGCCTCCTGTGCAGGCCTCCGAGCGGGTAGACGGTTTTTAAAATACAGCTGTTTTTTTTAGAACTGTAAAACTGTATTATGTAACACTAGGTCGCTACAAAAAGTACATTTTCTGGTCATTTCTTCACAAAGTAAGTTGAATCAACCCTACTGCATTGCATATAAGTACCATTGGGTGGAGGTGCCAAAATATATGACGCCTTAAGAATGTGTTTAAAGCTTGAAACACAGCTGTCAGTCATGTTTGTTTACATCCTGGTAGATTGTGGTGGTACCACAAACTGAGTGCGCCTCGTTTGGTCTGTTTAAGCGCCAACCATAAATGTTAGAAATATGAGATAACTGCTCAAACATGTTGAAAAGTAGAAGTAAATCACAATCATACAAAGA